GCAGCGCTGCCTTCGCTCGGCTGCTTATCCTCGTGTCTTTCCCGTGTCGGTGCTTTGTGCTGCCTTCCCTTGAGCCCCCTGTGAGCTCCAGCCCTGGGCCTGAGCATGGGAAGGGTGTGGAGCTGATGGAGAGTACAGAAGAGGCCGTGATGATGCTCTAAGGGCTGGAGTAGCTCTGCCCTAGAGGCTGAGAGCTGGGGGTGTCCACTCCAGGGAGACCTCAGAGCCCCTTCCAGTGCCTAAAGGGGCTCCAGGAGGGATTTTTGGACAAGGGTCTGGAGGGACAGGACACAGGGAATAGTTTCCCACTGCCAGAGGGTGGGGATGGATGGGATATTGGGAAGAAATCCTTCCCTGTGAAGGTGATGAGATTGTCCAGAGCAGCTGTGGCTGCTCCATCCCTGGAGGTGTTCCAGGCCAGGTTGGATGGGGCTTGGAGCCACCTGGGCAGGTGTTCTGCTAGTGGTAGGGGGTGAGACTGAGTGGGCTTTATGGTGTATTCCATCCCAAACCGTCTTGCGGTTCTGATTCTCTCACCACCCTCTGACATGAAACGTTCCCAAGGGATTTCTTCCTGCTCAGGTGTCCCATTCATTCCCATCTCTCCATCACTCCATTACCCAGGAGGCTGTTGTAGCCCAGGACCATTTGTTCTAAACCTCCTTGCCTGGTGCTGCTCTTACTGCTGCTTCCTTCTGTGCTGACACCTCTCCATGCACACAGATCACTCCTGTGGGAGTCTCTGTATGTCCAGGCCATTCCAACAGCAGGAAGACAGCTCTGAGGCTGGAGATGTTCCAGGGCAGAGCTGTGGCTGCTCACCCTGTGTGCCAAAGGCACACTGGGGGCTAAACTTCACCTTCACTGGGCATGAGGCTCTGTAGCTTTTTTGGACTGAAAAATACTGTGCAGCAGCTGCTCCTTGGCCTTGGATATGACAGATCCCAGTGAGTCCCTGCAGTTTGGGGATGCAGTTTGGTTTCTGGGGGAATCAGTTCTGTTTCAGGGCTGCAAAGCTTTGGCTCAGGATGCTAATGAGGAGTTCTGTTGCAACAGGGAATGTTGGTTTCCATTGAATGTGTTCGTGGTATTTATGTTGCAAACTCTCAGGTTAGCACTGGTGTGTGACTGTCTCCCTGCTGCAGTGTCAGTGAGGCTCCCTCAGCCTTGCCTTGCTTGGTGAGATCAGGGCAGAGGGATACTTGTAGCTGATTCTTTTCTTTTCCTTCTGTGCTTCAGGTCAGAACACAAAACGTGAATCTGGGAGAAAAGTGCAGACAGGAAACATCACTGCTGCAAAGGTACTGAGCTCTCTTGTCATGTCTTGTGTATTTCTGTGTTTAACAGGGAAAACTGGGTCTAAATCATGTTCTGTTTGAATCCAGAGCAGAAGGAGCAACACAGAAAATCATTTCCTGTGTTAACAGAAGATAGTTTTATACTATCATAGAAAAATTCTCTATAAAAACTAAATCATGTGCACTGTTCATGCAGTGGATGTCCTGTAACTGCACATGGAGGGCTTTGACCTTCCAAATGCTTTCTCTGCCAACTCAGAGTGTCCAGGTGTTGACACCTGACTGAGATCCTGATTCAGTGTGGTGCTACTGCCCTGACAATCCCTGTGCTCCCATTCCCACACCATCTCACCCTCTGCTGCACCTCAGCCACAGCAGAGTCACTGGAATTTCCGTTTCAGCCCCACTATGGGGTTTATTTAGGCCTTTTGATGTTCTCCTGTATCACCTCATTTCTTTGCTTCCTCCTAGACCATTGCTGACATCATCCGAACATGTTTAGGACCAAGAGCCATGATGAAGGTAAGAGCTTACACTGCAGCTGCCTGGAAACAGCCCAAGTGAGAGAGAACAGCACAAATGTTGGTTCCCTTGTGTTTGCAGATGCTTTTGGACCCCATGGGAGGGATTGTGATGACCAATGATGGCAATGCCATTCTTAGGGAGGTAAGTTTCTCCTGAGGGATTGTCTTGCCTAGAGTTGGAATCTTCCAGTCTCTTGGGTACCAGTGAAGCTCTTCTATCCTGAGAGCCACCAGGAAAGGTGTTACTGGGGGGGAGTGAGACATTCCCTGCAGATGTTCCACAGAAATGTGGATTTAATCCCAGGGTGGGAAGTTCTCAAGGAGGTTTTACAGGATTGCTCTAGATTCTCTAACACTTGCAGCTTTAATCAGTTGAATTGAGACTTTGTGAGTAGGTGTCGGTGTTCACTGTGCCACAGAATGAGACCAAGAGGTCATGGTTGTCTCTCTGGTGCAAGTGCTGTTTGAAGCAGATGCTAAAAATCATAATGCCTGAAGAACTGTGAGAGACACAGCATTGTTGGATACAAGGGCTTGGTTTGGTCTCAGAAGGGAAGGAGGAGCCTTGCTGTGGCTGGGCAGAATGCCTGTGGTTGTGTTGAAGGTGTAATGTTTACTCCATTGAACCTTGTGAGATGTTTCTGCCTCAGCATTCGAGACCAAATCCATCCTCTTGTCCCACACAGATCCAGGTCCAGCATCCAGCAGCCAAATCCATGATCGAGATCAGCCGCACGCAGGATGAAGAAGTTGGGGATGGGACTACATCTGTCATCATCCTGGGTAAGGAAGACTCAGACACATTGTGCAGAGCCTGAGGTTCTCCCTTGCTGCTCAGCAGAGCCCAGAGTGAGACACATCTTTGTTACGTGGGGCTCTGCCCTCTGGAACCAGGGACAGGATCCAAGGGAATGACTGGAGTTGTGTCAGGGCTAGAGATTGGGAGATAGGATATTATGTGTTAGGATATTGTGTGTTAGGCTAGATATTAGGAGAAGGTTCTCCCCCCAGTAGGTGTTTGGGCACTGGAGCAGCTCCCCAGGGCAGTGGTCATGGCTCTGAGCCTGACAGAGCTCCAGGAGTGTTTGACCAGTGCTCTCAGGCACAGTGTGATTTTTTGGGGTGTCTGGGCAGGGCAGGAGTTGGACTGATGATCCCTGTGGGTCCCTTTGAGCTCTGAATATTCTGTGATTTACCAGCCCTAAAATGGATAGTTATTTTACTGTGCAAGAGCATGTGAGAAGTCCATGAGACCCTCAGTGATCAGCTCCACAGCCTGGGAAGGTGTTCTTCCCCCAAGACCAGCACAGTTAAGTGTAAAGGTGACATCAGAGCTCCCTGCATGGGTAGAGGATACATTTGGTCTGCTCTGTTGCTGTCCTGTGGTGACTGTTCTGCTCGCTTATTGGGGGATTTTGATCTGTTTTCAATCGTTTTCCAGCTGGAGAGATGCTCTGTGTTGCTGTCCTGTGGTGACTGTTGATTGTTCTGCTTGCTTATTGGGGGATTTTGATCTGTTTTTAATCGTTTTCCAGCTGGAGAGATGCTCTCTGTGGCTGAGCATTTCCTGGAACAGCAGATGCACCCAACTGTTATCATCTGGGCTTACCGTAAGGCTTTGGATGACATGATCACTAGCCTAAAGAAAATTGGGTGAGTTTGGGTTGGGGGAGAGATGTGTGGTGACATGATCAGTATCCTAAAGAAAATTGGGTGAGTTTGGGTTGGAGGAGAGATGTGTGATGACATGATCAGTATCCTAATGAAAATTGGGTGAGATTAGGGCTGGGAGAAGGTAGAGGAAGAATGTGGAGGGGTTTGTGCTGCTGCAGCTCCTTCAGGGAATGGTGTGAGTAGAACACAACAGGACTGGGGAGGGACTGAAAGGGATTAGGAACAGATTGTGGCTTGCAGTGATGCTCAATTTGGTTGGTCCTCTGTGCCAGCACTCCAGTGGATGTGAACAACAAGGAGATGATGCTTAAAATAATCAAGAGTGCCATAAACACCAAGGCCATAAACCGCTGGTCTGACCTGGCCTGCAGCATCGCCCTCGAGGCTGTCAAGACTGTGGAGTTTGAAGAGAATGGCAGAAAGGAAATTGATATTAAAAAATATGCAAAAGTCGAGAAGGTGAGTGTGCCCTGAGCCCATTCTTGTCCCTTCCTGGCTCTGAACTAGCCAGCTGTGGGAAAAGCTGTGTTGCCTCTCTGCAGTCTGCAGACAGAACCCTCAGAAGTGCCTCAGTCAGTGCACACAGGGGTTGTTCCTTCAGCTCCTGGAGAACATTTGTCAAAAGGATCATTTCAGTTGCATTTGGAAGGTGGAAAACAAAACATGTTGAGGCAATAGTGTGTGAGAAAGTTTCTCAAGCTTTTCCATGGCTTCTCACTTAACCTGAGACAGTGTGTGCTCCAAGTTAAACTCATATCCTGGATACACTGTGGTCACCTGGGAGAGGATTTCCCTTCTCAGCACTTCTAGGAGGTGTTTTTGGGTTTTGCACAGTTAACTGAGCTGCCTCCCTTCCCCCTTCCCTGTGCCTGTCAGATCCCAGGGGGGTTCAGTGAAGACTCCTGTGTGCTTCGTGGGATTATGGTGAACAAAGACGTGACCCACCCCAGAATGCGACGCCTCATCAAGAACCCCCGGATTGTCCTGCTGGATTGCTCCCTGGAGTACAAGAAAGGAGAGAGCCAGGTACAGAGGGCCCTGCTGGAGGTGTCTGTGACTCTGGATTTGGGATGAGTGGAGTGAACAATCCCAGTGTTCAAAGTAAACCTGACATCTTTTACCTTACCCTTCAAGGAAAAGCTATTTGTTTTTGAAAGGATTCAAAATGTCTTATAATTTATTATTAATTTTTTCAGTGATAGTCACTTTTCCAGGTAGCCATAGAGAAATAATTTCAAAAGATGTTGAAACTACTTAGATCGCATCAGAGGAGATGAGCAAATGCCTGTTAATCTTCCTTCCTCTTATCCAGAGAGTAACCATGACTGTTCATCAGGTGAACTGTAATAGAATTGGTTTATATAAAAAATTTTATTTTCCTCATAGCATTGTGATCTAGACTTCCTTCCTTCCTTCTGAAGTTTGGGGGTTTTTTATTATAGAAAGCAGAAAAACACAAGGTGTCTCAAAAAAAATATAGGTTGGACCTGATTTACCCTCTAAAACTTACATATGTATGAGTGTACAACTGAACTGTGTTTGCTACTGCAGTAATGACCAAAGTTGCACAGTCATTAATTATTTACATCGCAGTAAAGTCGGAGTGGCTGAAGGCTCTCTGTGCTCTGCCTCTCAGAGGCCTTTACCTTGTGTGTGCTAATCCTGCCCCAGGGTTGTGCCCTGGGGTGGAAAAATAGCAGTGAGGCTGCAGCACTTTGACTCCCTGAAGCAGCTGCAGAGATTGGTGTGTCTAAGCACTGGTCAAGAGCTGGAGAAATACAAACACTGCTGTGTTCAGATGATACAGTGTCACAGGTTACCTGATCTGGGGGTTTCATCCCTGAGTCTCCCCCGGGTGGCACTGGAGGAGCTGAGCTGCTGGAGCTGGAGGTGTGTGTGGTGCAGTGGAGGGTTGGGAGGGACACACTGAGCTGTTCACACCTCTGTCTGTGCAGACTGACATCGAAATAACACGGGAGGAGGACTTTGCCCGAATCCTGCAGATGGAGGAGGAGTACATCCAGCAGATGTGTGAGGATCTCATCAGGGTCAAGCCAGACCTGGTCATCACAGAAAAGGGAGTTTCTGGTAATAGCACATGTGATCTTTCATTGTGTTAAATTCATCTCACTGAGGTTAAGGGTGTTAAATGCTCAGGAAACAAACACATTTCCCCCAGACCTGGTTTTAGTCTGCATTTCATCTTTGTAGCAAAAAGTTGTACACTGCAGGCATTGAGTTGGTGCTTGATGTTGCCTTGGACTCTTCAAGTAATATTTTGCCTTCCCAGCATTTGGGAATGACACCAAAACACAGATGAAAGCCCCTGGAGGGCTGTGCTACCATTTTGCCTTGCAGCCTGGTTTGGGAAGCTATTCTTAGGTATTTCCTTCCATAGCCCTTCTTGCTTTAAAGCCTGGAGCTAGGAGAGCTGGATTGATAACTGATAATCACATACAGTTTGTCATCACTAAAACTGCACAACCCTCTTTTCAGACCTGGCCCAGCACTACCTGATGAGAGCCAACATCACTGCCATCCGCAGGGTGAGGAAGACTGACAACAACCGCATCGCCAGGTGGGTGCTGGCTGCTGCCTGCAGCTCCTGCTGGGCAGGGCAGGGAGTGCTGAGGTGGCTCTCTGTCCCCTGGGATGGTGTGTGACACACTGCTGTGTGTGCCATCTCTGATGGGAGGGTGTCTGGGGGCAGGGCCTGCGGCGCTCGCATCGTCAGCCGCACGGACGAGCTGCGGGAGGAGGATGTGGGCACTGGGGCCAGACTCTTCGAGGTGAAGAAAATAGGGGATGAGTATTTTGCCTTCATCACTGACTGCAAAGACCCCAAGGCTTGCACCATCATCCTGAGGGGAGCCAGCAAGGAGATCCTGGCGGTGAGTGAGCTTGGGCTGCTTCACCTCCCTGGGTCAGTGAGGCATGGCTGGCACACCTGGGCTGGGCTTGGAGCCTGGAGGTGCTCCAGGTAAAAGTAGTTTCATAGTATGTTAAGGGGTTGGGATGGACCTTAGAGAACATCCAGTTTCATCCCTATGCCCTGGGTAGGAACACCTCCCACCA